AAAAGTTATTATTATTATTATTATTATTATTATAATTGACGAGTATTTACATTGATATCACATATTTACATATCTAACAAATAAATTTAATTTATATATTTATAATACTCAAACGCTTGAATTTAAGGATATATAAATTTATGAAGTGATATTAGGCTGAAGTATGCATGATTTACAAGCACACCATTTAATTCCTATTTATTTGCATAAATGACCCCAAAACTTCAATTTTTACAAACATGTTACAATGTTTTTACATAAAAAGGTATATTCCACTTTGAAAAAATTAAAATAATGATATTTTTTTATGTGATATAAAACATTTGCATGGTATGAATATAAGAAAAATAAAGCTTTGGTGTTAGGATATGACAATACATAAGAGGAAGGTAGTATGCATGTTAATGACCCTATATTAAATTTATCATAAATATCACAATAATTAGCCAATTATCCATATTTCAAAATAAGATAAATTATTATTTAAATATTTGAACATAAGAGTTTCAAATTGTTGTAATCTAAGGGGATGTGTGGCAACATATTTAACCCGGGATTTATACTTGAATCAAGTAGAATTTTGTCGGACGGTCGTTCTAGACTAATGAATTCTCGGATTTATTAAATATGGATTCCGCGGATCAATTGTAAATCCCATACTTATTAAATCCCACGAAGTAGTAGGATCTAACTTTGTTGTGTGAGTTTTACGTGATTTAATTATATAATTTAGTAAATCCATCGCTCGGACAATTTTTCGGATTTAACTCATTCAGAATTTAGCAAATCCGGATTTATGAGATTTACTAGATCCTAATAACTTAAATCTCATTTTTGGCCGAACAACAACACCTTAAATATATATATATACATATATAACAAAAACTAAGTTTATACAAGTGCCCCTATTTTTATTAGCATTTTAACAAATTTAATCATATTTAACCCGGGATATATACTTTGAATCAAGTAGAATTTTGTCAGACGATCATTCTAGACTAATAAATCCTCAAATTTATTATATATGGATTCCACGGATCAGTTGTAAATTCCAGTATTATTAAATCCCACGAAGCAGAAGGATTTAACTTTGTTGTGTGAGTTTCACGTGATTTAATTATATGATTTAGTAAATCCATCGCTCGGACAATTTTTTGGATTTAACTCATTCAGAATTTAGCAAATCCGGATTTATGAGATTTACTAGATCCTAATAACTTAAATCTCATTTTTCGCCGAACAACACGTTAAAATAAAATAAAAAAAAAGATAACAAAAACTAAGTTCATACAACTGCCCCTATTTTTATTAGCATTTTAACAAATTTAATTGCAAATATTAAACTCTCAACCGACAATGTAACTGCCGGCTAATAAGGATTAAAGGATCTTAATTACACAAAGCCGCCTGATTAAACTTAATTAATTAGCATCTAACCTTCTCAGCTTGAATGGCCCGGACGACGAGGAAGGACCTTCGCCTGGAGCCGAAATCCCTCAGCGGAGTTCCTGAAATGCCCCTGGGCCCGAACTGGCCCGCCCGACCATGAAGAAGAGAGATCTTGCACTGGCTGGCCATGGGAGGAGCGGATGCTGCAGCCATATTCTTTCTCCCTTAAGCTTTTTTTTCTGCCCGAAATACCCCTTTCTCATGCTCTCTTGCTCTCCTTCTAAAGCTGAAGGGATGAGGAGGGAACTGAGATGACGATGACGTGGAGGTGTTCTTCGCTTCTGATTGGATGATGGATATATGCCATCCAGTTCTTATCCGGATCCGGCAGTTGATTCGCTGCCACGTGGAAGGCAAATTTACATTTTCTTTTTCTTTCAATTTTTTATTTTATCAGGGAAGATTTAAGCTTTGGGAAAAAATCACTGAGCCTCATCCAATCAGAAATAATCCACTATAGTACGGTACATACCCTTGTCCCATTGGAGGGAATGAGTCACGCTATTACAGTATTCGTATGTACGAGAACTCGTTGGACAATGGTCAGGAGCGATTGCCGTTGATGGAACTTCTTTGCACCATCTTTGATGTGCATCACGACGTAGTTTTCAAAATGATGTGTTTTTCCATAGAATGCTTTGTTGTTCTGCGACATTGGCTACTAGTCTACACAGTGCTTCATTACTCCACAATGTTGGTCGCAACTTTGCGCAACCCTTTGCTACTTTACAACATCGGTCTTTGTTCAATAATGTGTTTCATTACTCTGCAGTGTTTGTCGAGATTTCACAAAGGGTTTTATTTCAACTTGCAGGATCGCCGCCAATGGGGGTCCATGGTGACCGACGAGCGGTGGTCGATAGGCAGTGACATGAGCAAAAAACGTTCACCAAATCTTTGGTACATAACACTAGAGTTCAGCCCCTTCTCATCTCGATTCTTCTCCAAGCTCCAGTCTTCATCCCTTTTCTTAAAGGGGGTAGGGCTCTTTTTACAGAGTCTAGAAGAGGCTTCCCGGAAAATAAGAAAAGAATCTGGACCACTCCATCAGATGACCAAGAGAGATCCCCTTGATCAGATGATATTCTACGGACATTTGAGTGTTTTAACAATGTCAAAATTAAAAGATCTTAAGCTCGTTGGATTATGTCTCATCGAGACGCTCGATTTGACAGTAAGCTTGTCAGGCTTCAAATCTGTTTGACTTATCAATCAACCACTAGAAACTTTCAAAAATAGCTTAACGACTTGATCTAGGCTTTTTTTGATTCATATTGGGCCAACTTTGAGGTCATTGTGTTTGTCCCATTGAGCTATTCAATTTGACATTAAGTTTGCTGAAATTAGAGTTCTTGATCATTTTTAATTGGAGTTTGAACTTTCACTATTTAAAATGCCCCGAGATTCATGTCAGATGATGTAAATTTATTGATGACGTATTAATTGCCTTTATTTTTGGGCGAAGGTGACACGAGACATGTTGCAAGATCTAGACAGCGAACAATAGGATGATGTGATCTGGTGAGTGGATCAAAGGGCAAAAGCATGTAGAAGGCACGATCCATTGCGTACTTATTTTTGTGCATGGAATTGGCCGAATCCATGTGAAAATACAATCCAACCGCTATATTGGGTTGGATTTGATGGTGGAGGTAGTGCAGTCAGGGTAGACATGGATTTTGGTCATATTTTAGTCATTATTTGGCCCATTTGAGCCTATAAAAGGGTCCACAATGTGAAATAAAAATTAGAGAGTCCCTACCACGCATTTTGGAAGGGATTCTTTATTGAGGAAGATTGGAGCGCCCCCACCGTGCATTCCAGAAGAGATTCAATTAGGATAATATGATGAAAATTTGTGGACATTAGAACTAATTTGTGGTCATTAGAACTGTCTCAATTTGATTAAATGAAATATGTGGGGGAAATGGACTTGAGAAGGCTTGAGATTGATAGAGGAAGATGGCTAGAGCTTTAAGCAGAAAATTGTAATCGGTTTGAGTGGAGTTCATAGGAGTTCAATCACTTTCAACAACCTTGGAAAGGAGAGCTCAGTAGAGTATTTATAAGCTTTGAGTAGGCTTGAAGAGTGCTCAGTATGAGTTGGAAAGAGTTCGGTCACAATTTATTTGAGGCAAGCTGATGTGGCATTGTCAAATCTTGCATTCAATGAGGGGAAACCATACTTTAGCATGCAAAAAATAAAGAAGTGTCACTTGTGCTTTGAGGTTTGGGTAGCTTCTAATGGAAGGAATAGAGCTTGCTTGGACTAGGCTTGAGTGAACTTTGAGTGAGCTTGAGCTGGTGAGCCAATGTGCTTGTGCTGGATGAAGAGGGAGCCATGTGGAGGGGCTTGGGTGGGCTTGATTTGGTTGTGAAAAGCTTACTTGATATTGTCTTTTGTTGGCTTGAATTTGGCTCAGTTAGGCTTGGATATAGTGAGCCAAGTTGAGCTTAAGTGAGCTAAGCTTAAGTGAACTTAAATGAAGGTGGATTGGTTTGGGCTAAGCTTGTGTGGGAGGTCAATCAATATATGGATGACACATGGAAGGGCTTGTTATGTGAAGTTAGTGTGGCCTTGGAGATGGGCTTAGTCCAACTTTAGGTTAGGCCATGGGGCCTTGAGTATTGGGCAGCTTTGGAGTTGGATTTGGATGAGTTGAAAAGAATGTTTGAAAGGGTTTGGGTTAAGGTTTGAAGTTCAAGATAATTACTAGGTGAAGTAATTTATTTTTATGCAAAATTATTAGTGTTTTAAAAGTGAATTATTATATTGAATTAAATGGTTACAGATTGATCATGGATTTATGTTTTTTATTTTTTGAATTTTAAGTTTGATTCTATTTGAATTTGCTTTGTTTATAATTTTTTATACTTAAATTTTATATTTAAATTTATATATATTAGGTTCACTTTTATATCAATTGTTTTTAATTTCAAGTATATTCAATTTTCTTTTAGAAATGAATTTTATTATGTAAAGAAATGAATTTGAATTTTGATAAGTTTGATGTTTAATGAGTTTTAATTTCATTGATTTTAGAATTTTGTGTTTGAATTTGAACTCAACAAGTTAGATTTTAATTGAGTTATTATTATTATTATTATTTTATTTTTTATTTTAATAATGTTTAGTCTTATTTAAGATAAATTCTAACTTGGTTAAAAATGAACACTAAATCAAATTTGCTCTCTTTTAATCAAAGAAAGAGTCAACAAAGAATTTTCGAATAATACTAGAAAGGATCCAAAAAAGTGTAAATCAATGACACAAGTCTCTAAAGCCAAATGAGAGCTTAAATGCATTTCTAACCCTATCAAACTCAACTTAAGCCTCAACGACTAACTTAAATCAATTCAATAAAAATGCTAAGGATTAAAATTAAGTACATGAAGCTAAAAGGAGTGAAGATTTAATTTAGATTTCTAATTTAGGGTTTCAATCACTCACTACTCCTTTAGGGAAGCCTCTATGGAAACTTAAGGTTTGATCCTAGGTTTTAAAGGGAGAGGAAGGGAGAGATAGACCTAATAAAAAATGACTCCAACAAACTTCTTAACATTGAATCTAATGCTCCAACTTATTTACATTAGATATATATAACAAACATTTAAATTTTTAGAGGCTTAAATTATTCAAAAATGGTTTAGGGCCAATACTACTTCTAATCACATAAGCTGAATCAATAAAAGTAATTATAGTTCTAAACTAAGATGAAAAAATAATAACAACTCTAGAGTAACATCTCTGAAACAAATTTTTGTTACTCTGTCAAAGAATCACAAAATGTAGCAACTTCATCCCCAGCTTCATCCTTTGACTTCTTTAGTCTTTCCAAATGCACTATAAATATATCCCTTATTTTAACAATTTATTTTAACTAAATAATTATTGGTTTTTTACATTCTAAATTCCTTGGCTTTCCAAAATTTCAGATTGTCATACACAACAACATAGTTGAGCTCATAAAAACTTCAAATTCCATTATCAATATGAAGAAATAATATTGATTAATATGGCAATATAACTAGCTATTATGATCCAAAAATGTAACTAAAAGCATACATGAAGAAAATTAATTTCATCCTTTCACTATTAAAGATTGGTAATAATATCTATAAACTTATTGTAATGCTCAAAAACATGTATAATATATTTTTCCATTTACGCTAATTAGAAAAAGAATCACTTTTTCCTATAAGATTAGAAGTCACAAAAACATGTATAAAAGAAAAAAAATGGTGTTATGAAAAAATTTCGAAACTTAATGATAAAGTAACTAAAAAAACTAATGCACCTAGAATTTGAAATCTTGAAACATAATATAAAGAAAGACCTAATGATAATACCAAAAAGGCAACAATGAAAGATTTATTCAAACATTGTAAACCATATTCCTGACATTTAGTTATCAGAATAAAAATTTAATAAATGAGTTCATAAATCACTAAAGAGAAATTATAGTTCGATTAATCAAAATCTCATTATTTCTAGCCCTGGATATAATTTTTTGTGCCTCCTATGCAAATTTAGCAACATCATAATTCCACCTTGGCCTTTCATCATATTCATGGCTACTTATATAGAACATTCAAACATGCATACAAAACTTATAAAATATATAGTTAATGTGAGTGAAATTAAAAAATAATATTTTAAAAATATAAATAAATGATGAATTTTTTACATTAAAAAATGATAATAGTTATTAGATAATATTTCTACCAAGTTAAAAAAGATCCAAAATTAAGATTTATTAAAACAATTTTTAAAGAAAAACACTTGGGATACAAGAAAAAAAACATATAAAATAAAATATAGAAAATATCATAAATGAACTATGAAAATACATTACCTTGAGAAAAAATTTCCCAGAAAAATATCAATTTTCTAAACCCCTTAGATTTTCTTCAATATACAAATATACTAGTTAAAAATGTGATCTTTGGGCCAAACCATGAAAATACATTACCTTGAGAAAAAAATTCCCAGAAAAATATCAGTTTTCTAAACCCCTTAGATTTTCTTCAATATACAGATATACTAGTTAAAAATGTGATCTTTGGGCCAAACCAATTATAATGGATTTATATCTACTAATGAGGGCTAATTCTCATTAACTGAGTGCTCACATTGAGATGAAACTTGTATTGTAAGCTCAAAAGTACTAAAAATTAAGTTATTATTTTATGAAGCAAAAGAGACCTTT